GGGATCTACAGTCCTTCCTTCCAAAGAATAGCACAGTGCCTAGAGCAGAGAGGGGCCCCAGCAAGCACAGGGTATGACTCTACAGTTATGGCAGAAGGGGCATCACTGTCCCGTAGCTAAAGGCTGCATGCTGGCCAGCCTGAAGAAGCCCAAGAGGAGCACTTGTAAGGGTCAGGGCACCCAGTTCACTTCTGGAAACACCAGTTCCAGAACCCACCCATTGCCTGACTGTCCCTGCCAACGAGGAAGAGGGCTTTATCGCTTCTCCACACAGCCTTCCAGGGCCAGCTTCGAATCCCCATGCCTGGCTTTGGCTCTATATTTTTCTGGTGCATTTCCATCAGATCCCATTTTAAACTCAAACAAAATCTTTATGCCATTACTCAGGAAATCATCATTAAATCATTTGTTCGTTTTTATTAGCATTCCAGTAATTAAAGAGAATCATATTTCTGAAATCTTCAGCCGCACTTATCAAAACCCACCCTCCAACCAATCAATTAGTATTACAATAACCGCGTTCCCTTGTTGCCGCTGCTATTAGCATTTTGATTGAATGTCTGTTGAAAAGTGACTGGTAACAGAAGATTGTGTTCAGAAAGTAATGTTTCTTTATTCGTTACCACCGAACCTTGTCTGGTTGTCTCCAGTCTCCACTCAAAAGAGACAAGACAGTTTCCAAAAGCAGTCATTTTGGTGGTGGATTATATTTTCATGAGGTGCGTGATAAATTGGGCATAATCGCTCCAGAATCATCCGTTACACACGGGGGCCTCCCCCGGGCTGTGGCCTCAGCACCCAGCAGCTGCACCTCGGCTGTCGAGCGCTGACGGGATGATGAGTGTCCCTTCTGCTGCCTCGCTCTCCCCCACCCCAATAATCTAGGACCATAAATACCAGGTCGTCACAAATGGCCCTTCAGGCGACTCACATATAATGACGCCTGTGCCAGATCCAACGGTGGCCGCTGTTATTCCCACGGAAGATCATCATCATTATACACCCCCTTCTCTGCCAGGCACTTGGGAAACCTGTTATTCCAACATTCAGAGTTAAGTTCTCCAGTCGTCATAATAATAATAAAAGCAGCAGTCAGTACCGAGATGGGTTAACAAGCTCCATTATGGAAAGAATGGCTGTCTTCTCCAAGTCACAGGAATTAAAGACGAGAGTTCATTAAATCATCGTATTAGAATCTGAACGCCTGCTTCTTCAGACAGCTCTATTTACTGCTGCCACCCGGCCATCACTGATGCCTTTTGTGGATAAATGGAGACCTCTAGACATACAATATGGCCAAACCAGCACAAAAAATTTCCACCTTCCTCTAGTGAGTCAGGCACCATAGCCGACGGAACTAAAGGAGATTCTGTTTTTACTTGTCTGGAACAAAACAGAGCAGGGCACCGGAGAGAGGATGTCCAGAGCTGGGAAGGGCACGTGTGCCAATCTATAAATACAGTAGCTGTCTAACCATGAATATCACAGCTGTCTAAATGCTATCCATCTGTCTGTCCTTCTGTCTGTCCTTCCATGCACCTTGCATCCACCCACCCAGTTCCAACCCACAATAAACTATAACCACGAACTTCATCTCCCATGCAGGTGACCTTGGCCCAATGACCCTTTCACGGTTCCCCAACCTCCCTGCCCACCCCACGGTTGACTATCCAATGGCGAAAGGCATGACAAAGCTATCTTAATGCTCCATTAATTTTTTTCCTTTTAAAAAGGTTTCCAGAATTAAAAAAAAAAAAAAAAGGTGCTATCTGCTTCCTGTAAAATCTTTCTCTAAACTCAAAGTCTCCTTTTTCTCCTCCTCAGCTCTTGTTTCTCCCCTGGCTGCCAGCCAAGATTTTATAATAGTGTCAGGTAGCAATTTCATTTTTAAAATGCTCTTATCAAGGATTTAAGGTGAAAGATAAGAACAGCACAGTAAATCATCATAAAGGAGTGTAGTGTGAGGCATAGTATTTTACAAATCAAAACAGTTAACAAAATGAAAAGGCAAGGACAGGGAAACAAAGTGAGCTTAAGCATGGGCTGCAAGGGGGAGGGTAGAGGCCAAGTTAAATAGAAAGATCATCCTTCAGATTTCCAAGCTCCCTTTGGTAATGGTCTTGGCGTATTTGCTAAGAATTGCACGAACAGCCCAATTTCCATTTTAAAATAGGATGTTTTTAGAAGGCATATATATTGTCAAACCATTACACATACTTAACTGGGGGTTTTCATTGAAGTCATCTGACCCGCAAGCATGTGTTGTTAATATCACTGCTTTATTATTTATCAAATCAATTTCTTCATGGAATGACTAATAACACAACCACAGCTGCTCTCCTCTTCCCTCCCCAGCTGCTACCGCCCTGGCAGCAGCAAGATCTGCTAGGCTACCTGCGGTGTCTTGCTCCCCACACTCTACTAAAGAACCTTGTAAAAGAAAGGAAAAGGGGAGGTGAACAAAGGAGGTGCCATTTACGATCAAGCCACTTTGTAGAAATCACTTATGCTACCCTGGAAAACTTAACAATACTATTAATGACTAGGCTGGGGCATTGGGCTTTATTATACCAGGGGATTTTAATTAGTCCCCAAATCAAGGAACCACAAACCTAAAATAAAATGAGACAGGAACCGGTACCTGTTTTCTTATTTTGATCCTTTACAATGTCTTTGATTCCAGTGTACTTTTTACAACAAACCAAGGACTACATTCAACTTAAATGTGTCCCATGTCCTTCCATCTGGACACACAATCTCTGGTGCGCGCGCGCGCGCGCACACACACACACACACACACACACACACACACACACACTCGGAGCTGGGATGCAACCCCAAAGTGGCAACAAAGCTGACAATACCTGAAAATAAACTCATTATCATGGTGTTCATTCTAAGTATATATGCTCACCAATCCCTTTAGGACCTACCTGCAAATTCACAATAAATAAAAACATGCAATTAGATAATTTCCTGTTTGCCAAAGAATGATTCAATTGTCCATTAAAAATTAGAGTTCTAAAAATAACATAAAGGGACATTATTAGATATTGTGGATACACATATCTCTGTTGTAAAACAGATTAGCATTATGGGCAAAATACAAAGCCTCTTTTGTAAATCTTACTCCTTTTTTTTCCTGTAATGGTAAGACAGAATGGGGGAGGGAACAAATTAAAACATAATTTTCAGACTATGTTTTCTTATTGTCACTCAGAAAAACTGCCAGGTGTTTCCAGCATAGTTTATACACAAATATACTAGCTGAATCAGGAAATTTCTTTCCAGAGCAAATGAATCAACTTAATTAAAAGAAGACTTCAGATGCCAAGACCAGGGATTTTCGATGGGGAGGAAGTTGAGATCTCAATCTGTAGCCAGATACCTTTCCAGATACCCTGCCGCTGAGAGCAAAACACAGAAGCACTCTCAACCCTGGACGGAGCGCTGGCTACAGCACAGCTCCCCAGCCACTAGGGCTGCAACCAGGCACCACGGGTCAGGGCAGGATGGATTTTTAAAAACTAGACCAGTATTTTCAGTCTTTCTTCTCAGTTGGCTTTAAGAGTCCACTACAAAGATGCCAGTGTCATTTTTCCTCTCTTAAGCAAGCAAACAGTCACTGCCATTGGTTTGCTGGGTTCCTTAGGAGGTAGGCCACATGTGGAGGAGAAGTGGCCTTGACCCCAGGGCCCAGACACGGAATAGGACACGGAATAGTCAGCAGCTCTGATTTGGTGGCTTTTATAGTTCAAAGGGTCCTTGGTGATCCTGTGACCCAGGTAGGGGTCCCCAGCCCTGAATGCGCATTGGCACCAGCTTAGGGAATGTTAAAGATGATCAATGCCAAGGTTCCGACAAATACAGTTTGAACAACTCCCCGGGTGATTCTAATAGGCAACCAGGGTTAAAACCACCACCTCAGTTCCAAACTTCTGATGTAACAACCATCACTTATCATGCAGCGCATCTAACACTGCGCTAAGGCGCCAAGCAGGCCTTCCTAACCAACGCTGTCTCTCCACGAGGAAATCAAAACTGGCCACAAGAGTTGAGCGGCTCTGCGTGAAATCTCAATTCCACGTAGAGGAGCGAAAGGGAGAAATGGGACTGTGGGAAGGGCCTGCCTTCGCTGTCCTGTCCAACCGCCTTGGTGACCTTCTGCAAGGTGTTTCTGGCGGGCTCCCCAGGTCCACTGCGGTTCCTACTCACTGAACATGCAGCAGCTGGGTGGGAGGGAGCTCCGGGCTGGCAAGAAACACAAAACAGGGGGCCACTGTTGCTTCTGTGTCTATTCTGAGCCCAGAATGGATGATGTCACCTCCAGCGGCAGTGGGAAGCAGAGTCATGAATCATCCATGAATCGGCCCCGCCCTCGGAGATAATAAATCGGATGTCAGCATTGCACACGTACGCTGCAGAGCTGGTGCGGAGGCGCCTGCTTTGGCTAGGGTGCTGGGATACAGGAACCAACGCTGGACACGTTCAGGGGGAAGGAAGCACTCTCAGTTATTTCCTGGTATAGGACAGCTGGCAAGTTGAGGAACAAACTTCAGGTTTATAGGGAGTGCTCAGAGACACACAACTTTGATCCCTTTAAAATCACAGCAGTTATTTTTATGCACTGCTGGGTTTGCCAACCACACCTGAGGCTTAACAGAAGCGCATCCACATGTGTGCTGTAATTACTCATTACTGCTGTGTCCACCGGCATCCTTACAACCTCAGGCCCGGAGGTGCCGCCACCGTGACCCTCCACCGCATTAGTGTAGTTTAAAACTCGCTCCAGGATTGAATTTGGCAAATGTTCCTGCCTGAAAGGATTTCTGGGACAACATAAAGAAATCAAGAAGTCTATTTGGCAGCTTTTGAAGTTCGCTGTTGTCTTGCTGGGTTTTCTTATTTTTTTTGCCAGGGTGGCAATACAGGCAGGTATGTAAGGATGCCAGCTGTGTGCTGTCACACACAGGGGCTCTCCTAATTTCCTTTTCCTCCTCTTTTTTTTTTTTTTTTGCATTGTTTCTCTCAGTCTCAGTTCTAGAAGCTTCTAGAAGTCTGAAGTCAAGGTGTCTGCAGGGCCTTACTGTCTGTCCCATGCCTCTCTCAGCTTCTGGTGTGGCCAGGAGCGCCATCACTCCAGCCTCTGCCTCCAAGGTCACATGGTCTTTGCTTGGCATCTCTCTTCCTATGTCCCTTCTTAGTGACACCAGTCATCCTGGATTAACCTCCTCAGAAAGACCTCATTTTAACTGGATTCCATCTCCGAGGACCCTATTTCCAAATTAGATAACATTCTAAAGTCCTAAAGGTCAGGACTTCAATTTATCTTTTTGGAAGACTCAATTCAACCCATCCCTCCACTGTAGGAAAGGACAGCTTCTGCCAAGAGCCCAGTGTAATGTTCTTTCCAGTCAGCAAGCTGTGGCCTATGTTCCCCAAGTAAAGACAGCCACAGTACGCTTATTAGTAGTAAAATAACAATAGTTAATAGTGGGCTGATAATAAAGTTAATCTTTGTATGTAGTCTCCTAAACTACACAGTTTCATACATATTACCTAAATTGAATCTTGCAAGTGTAGGAGTTAATAACAACCCTATTGTATAGATGTGAAAACTGAGGTTCAGAGAAGGTTAATAGCTTTTCCAAGCTCACACTGATAAGTGCAATTTGAACCCAGCCGTGTGACTCAAGCCTAAACTCTTACTCCTTTGTCACCCAGTCAGGACACTTGCCCAGCTTAGCGGATGTCAAATGGTGATCTATGCCATAAACAATGCGGACACAGACGAGTTGGCATTTGCCACCCTTTGTAAGGTCCCTACATGTTTACTAACCATGACTTCGAGTAAGAAAATGCTTTTAACTTTTTCCCTTTAATTTCAAAGCACTTTGAACTCCCAGGTCTTCGAAGAACTCAAGCAAATAGGCTTCTTTTTATATACGGGCCAGTCTGGCTATTCTAATAATAGCACATTGCCTGGGAAGAGGAGAAACTACTAAGAAAATCCACATCTATCTCTCTGACTCTTGGTTTATGGAAAAAAACAGAGAGAGGCGACTCCCAGGCACAGGATTCTCATCTGCACATCATCATGTCCTGTTGGTTTGGTCCCCAATGAGGCAGGACGCCTCCCTCCCACGACAAAGCCTGATCCACATGATGTGCACAACCCATAATCACAGCCAACTTTAAATAACGTCAGGAACAAGGTGCAAGCGATAGCATTTATCCTGTGAGGGTGCTGGGATGGGTATTTTTTCTTTTGAAGATTCTCTTTCATGTTGATACACCACTCCAATGACACCACAAACTGGAATGAGTTTTAAAAGCTTACGTTAAAAAGAATATCAGTGTTTGAATCGGTAACAAAACACACATGGTATAAAAATTCAAAAGGCAAACAAGAGGAGAAGAGAAGTTTCCCTCTGTCTCTGCACCTCTGGTCCTTTAGTCCTCTTTCCTAGAAGCAGACTCTTCTTCACGTAGGAACATCTGCATCTGTGAGTGGATGTCCCTGTGTGTGAAACATACTGGCATGTTTCTTATGGCTAGAGACTATGCTGAGCCCTTTAGACTCATTAAATGATGTAAGCCTCAGGCTACCCCAGAGTCAAATAGCAAGATGACAAGTCTTGACTCTCAAGTCACAGAGAGGTTCAGTAACTTGCCCAAGGTCACACAGCTATTAAGTTACAGAGCTTAGTTTCCAACTGCTTGGCTCTTGTGCATGTGCTCCTAGCTACTATGCTATTCTGTTTGTTTCCGTTTATGGGTAACCTTCCAGAAATAGTCTAGGCATGTTTAGCCTATGTGTTATAGGCAAAGGGGAGGGGAAAACACTCATCAAAAAAAATTTTAAAGACTAGAGTCCCCGAATTCAAATTCGCCGGATTTTAGCTTGTATGCCTAAAGACATAAAGCCAAGAGCTATAGGTACCCTGCCATTGCTGGGGCAGTCTGCAAGCTGAGCCCCTGCACTGTTCCAGAGTGGGCACGTGACCTGCATAGGAGAGCAAAGCAAGGCTCAAAGGTATTCAGGCACCTGCCTGAGCTCACACCCACAGGGAAGCTGGGGTCTGAAGCCAGTGGTGACCAACTCTAAGCCTCAGGCCCTTCCCAGCACCCTGTGCGCATACAGAGGTACAGATGGGCTGGCCCCGCCCTCTGACCCTCAGGGCTCACACAGAAGCTCAGGCCCAGAGCTGCATAATTATCAGGGCTCCCCTAGGAACCTAGGTCCCAACAGGGAAGCAGCTGCCCATGGCTTTTGGTGACACCTGACCTAGCCCTTCTACAGCCCCCAAAGGGACACTTTTAATCAAGTCACCAACGCAAAGGCTCCTTTCTCTACAGGCCTCCACACTGCCCTGGCCGAGTTCTTCAAACATGTTTTGAGAGTCAGAGCCTCGGCCTCTATGGGAACAGGACCCAACAAAAGGCGCTTTGTTCCTCTCTACAAAAAACCATTTCTGGGTCAATGAAGTTGCTGACCCTGGGCCCACTGCCTTTCTGCTTCTGTGGGCCACAGCCAGGGGAAGGCAGGAAGACCTATTAGCTCACCACCCTTCTGGTGCCAGCGCTTTTATCCCAAAGGAAAGAAGTTTAAGATTTATACTGCGGCTAAAGAAAACGCAGCTTACCCAGGATGCCAAGTCCCCTGCCTCCCCCGCCACCGCTCTGCAGGCTCCTCTTGGCCCCAGGAACCCCCGGCCCTGGCGCTGTTGCTAGGGAGTTGAGGGCTTTGTATTACTCTGTGTCTACAAAGAAAAGCAGGTGAACAGAAACCAAGTGACTGTGTCGATTAATATCTCAAGAGACAGCGCCGGAATGGGCACTTCCGGAATTGAGTTAACGCAAGGGGAAAAAAAATTAAAGCCCACTCCTGGCTTTCCTGTCAGAAATAAAATTAAGGTCTCGGATCGATGCTGCCAGGGCTGGGGAATCTACAGGAATCTCTAATGGCCTCTTCTACATGTTTTCAAATTTGCATTCCCCTTCAACCCTGCCCTTTTAATTGGTTATTTGCGAGGTCATGTTTGCACCAATTTCTTGGGAAGGCTAATGGTGTTTATTTAACAAGAAAATAAAATGTGCAGACAGCTCTGCGGCTAGTATCTGAGCCACGGCTCAGGGTGTGGGCTGCCGCTCCTTACCCCAGCCCTCCTTTACTCTCCCTGCTGCAAGGTTATGGGGTCTGGGGGTGAAGCCCTGCCAAGTCAAGAGGCCCCGTGCCCATTGCCCCCATGGCCCCAGCATTAATGCACCCAGCAAGGAGACAGAACCTCGTGATCTGAGCCTCCAGAGGAGTGGGAATGGCTGTTCCTCGCGCTATACGAAGTGCGCCCTTAGCCCGCGCCCAGCCTGCACGTAACTCTTCCATCAGTGTCTCTTCAAGTCCAAACACAGCAACTAATGCCCACATCGCTGCTCTCTCCCATACCCCATACTGACCATTTCTCCTTCGATTCCTGGGTGAGCAGTGCCTTTTGTAAGCAGCGGTCCGCACTGACAATGGGGCACTCTGGGAATAGGACAGGATTCACCCCATCCTCATCTAGAACCTGTACCTGCATCAGAAAGCCCAGCTGGTGTGTCTGGGGCCCGCATCATACTATGGACTAGACTGGAAGCTGCGTGAGGGCAAGCCACTTCCTCACCCAGGGGTGAAGGGTGGTCTATGACAGACTGGCTGCTTCCTTGTCAACCCAGATGCAGAACTAGGATCAACATCAATAACGATCAGCTACTGTCTTACAGGTTTTCAATGAACCCATTAGCACATCTCAGACTCGGGGCAGGATTTGATGGGTACTTAACACCATTACCAACTAACACTAAGGATACCAGCAGATCTGAGAGGTGGGAAAACACCATTTCTAGCAAGTCTTGCTCCAGAATCCAAAAGTGAGCACCATGGGCACTGCTATCTCATAGGGTGACACCTAACTGCATCCACCAGCTGAGATGTCACATATCCCTACCACGCTTTCCACCCATCCAACACCCTTCTCTTGAACTTCGCTGTCAGCCACCCTACTTCCTCCAGACCATAAGCCTGCATTTACAGCTAGAAAATCTCAGTCTTTTCCCCTAAGGTAAATAAAATCAGAATGCTAGAATCTCATCAGGAAAAAAACATGCATATATTGTCTTTGACATCTCACACTTACAAATGAGGCAACGCTTTAGAATTTTTTTAATTTAATTTATGCCTTTGTGAAACGCTTTTTAAATGCCTCCCTCATTTTTTGAGAAACAGGTACCAATAAGCAAATAATTACAGCATGATTTTTAATCATCTTTATATAGCATACATAAAAGAGTCAATCTGGACTTCAGAGGTCAATTTCAAAAGTGAGTGTCTGGCAGGTATTCAAGATATTACGGCTGTTTTTTCTCTTTAGAAAAGCATTATCTTCTATCACAGCTTCAGTTACATCTTACTGGCACCATTTTAATAAATAAACTGATTATGCAAATGGTGGAGACCTTAAACTTGGGCCAACTGCTTTTGGGTCTGAGACTCTGAGAAAGCTTCCAGGGAGAAGCCAGGCTTTCAGCGCCACAGCCGTGAGGGAAGTCTGTGGAAAGTTCCTCCCTCTGGCTGGCCCTGTCCATCCTGCACCTCTCCAGCTCTGGATAAGGCACAGCCAGGCTGGGAAAGGACTCCTCTGTCCAAGGGCCGGCTGTGGCTGGTACAGGGGAGGAGCCCTTCTGGGGCACTGGCAGTGTCTGGCGGTTACCCCTCTCCAAAGCCATTAGCATTGTTCTTACTAAGTGACTGCTGACTGTTGGGAGAAGTCATCCATCACGCTAATCTTTATTTTTCTCTCCGTGTGTCCTGTTCCTTTGCCTCTGGCAACGTTCCACAGCAAACAGGCCTGCTGGGTAATGGCAGCCTCAGGGGCGGCCAAGGCCAGCAACCAACCGACCCTCCACAGGCAATGGGCGAAGCTTCACAGACCCCCTGCTCTTCTCCCACAGGGCTCCTGAGCATCCAGCTCTCCTCTGGGGGGACCCAGCAGTGCAGGGTTCAGGAACCTGGGGTCAGGGGGAGGGACGGCTGAGGTTGGTTTCCCTGGAGTGATCTTCACGCTGGGGGCTCCCTTCCTCCAGCAGGAGGTGAGTGTAGAATGTACTGTAGCAACCAACAGGCTCACATTCCACTTTTGCCAACAGGGCTGAGGTGGTGGGACAGTAAAGAGAACGAGCTACTCCATCCTCTCTCCCTTCCCAGCTCTCCATCCTCAGCCTCCTGCCAGCCCAACAGCAAATCACACAGAGCTTCCTCCCTCCAGTCCTCCTCTCCAGCCACACCCTGCGCTCAGCACCCAATGCTGAATTCAAGGGGAAAGCCACAAACTCTCCCTCAAAGATCAGATCCTTTGATGATCAGTCCAGTATTTTTCAGACCAACTCTAACACTACTTAGAGAACAAATGAAATGACGCCAAGAAAACTGGAAAGCCATCGTTCCCTCCTCTCCCCTGGGCCCAAGTCGTCTCCCAGAGGGCCATGGGATGGTGTGTTAGGTAGGGCCAAGGACGGCTCCCAGCTTCTACCAGCAGAAGCAGCTCAGCTCCTTGTCTGGTTTGGGCACTGGCACGTGGCATCCCAGAACTTCACATGACTTAGTTTTTCAATCTGGAAGTGCAAGCACACTATGGTCCAGCGAGAAGGATTGATGGGGAAATGAAGGAAGCACTCAGGCTCTTATACCAAGCTCCCCTGCTTTCACGACTGCCCAGCACCACGTCTACAGGTGAGATGGGCTGTACTCACGCCCCAGCTCTGCATCAACTCCCATGCAAGTCTGGGCAGCTCTGTACCCCACAAAGATGGAGCTGCTCTGTGCAGGCACTGAGCTCACTCAGCTCTTGGGCTGGTAAGTGCTTGGAAGCACTGGCTGCTTCTGCCAAGAAATAGCCTGGTTAGAGAGCCATGAAGCCAGGACACCGGAAACCAGGGTGGGCGCTGTGACAGATGTCCAGACCCCCTACAGGAATGAAGGACGTGTTTCCCGGCTCCTCGGAGTGCTGCTGGGAGACGGTCCTCAGCGGAAGGAAGCCCAGGTCACACCCACATCACAGGTGGGCTGTAGCCAAAGATGATCATGTAGACAGCAAGGACGTCTACTCACCGGGTGACCCACAGGCTGGCTGCACCTGCCACTCACCCTAGCCACGACCATCTCGTAGTAAGCTTCCTGCGGGCCAAGAGGCTTAAGCGCTCACACAGTTGCTTCTGGGGAACGCCACCAGCAGCAACTGCTCACACCTCTTGGGCTGATTTAAAAAAAATTAAAGGAGTTCATTCTCCACAGTCAGATCCATACTTCGAGTCCTGGAGCTCCTCAATCCTAGTCCCTGTATGTTCACAGGGAGACCCCAACATGGTCAGCTAGGTTAGGGAAGGGGTTCCAGGCTGAGCAAAGGGAGCAGCAGCAGCCCCACAAGGGAAGAAGGCCCGCACTCTGAGGCACAGGTAGGGAGACCTGGTACTTGCGGGGTGAGCGTTCCCCCCTATGAGGCACAGCCATAGCCTCAG